CAAATAACCGGCCCGTCTTGCGACCTTTCCCGAGAAGCTGTCCCGTCTGTGAATCCTGAACCTGAACACCAGAAGATGAAAATATAACATTAAGACCTTGGTCAACCAATTAACCAACAGAAATAAGATTTAAGGCCAAGTCAGGAATGCAGTATGTCTCGGAAGATGCAAGGAAGGGGAAGAAATCAAACCAGTGTGAGTAACATTCATAAGAGTACCATTAGCAGTATGTATAGGAGGTAAAGAGGTTACGGAAGACGAGGAAGACAAAAGCTGCGGGCTAGAGGTCATGTGATTGCAACAACCAGAATCAAAATACCAATGTGATTTACCTCCGGTAGCAGACATAGAGGAATTGGAAAGAAGAACCTGTTTGAGAATAGCCTCTATGTCTTGAAGAGTGTAAGACGAATGCTGAGGCTCAGTAGTGACAGCCGCTGTAACAGAAGAAGTGGCGGTAGAGGAAGACCTATGATGTCGAGAGAATGAACCTCTCGAACGGTGTGATCTGGCTGGACAATATGTAGCAATATGGCCCCGAACATGGCAAATGTGGCATACCACCGTAGGACAAAATGGAGCAATATGACCCTGAACATGGCAAATGTGGCAGACCACCATAGAAGAATCCATATCCAAAAAATAAAGAAGCACCAGCAACCAGCAACAGTACGAAGACAAAAGAAAATCACGAACTGGATCACAAACCGGATAAAATAGCAGTAAAAGGCCGAAATTAAAAAGTTCATGAATACCAAATCCGAGCACACCACAAGGTAGCTGACGTCGACAGGAGTCGGCGGCTGAAAGGCGGCGGCAAACGGCTGAGTAGGTGAACCACACGCGCCGCCGGAAGCTCACGGCGCTGCCGGACAAAGTCGGCGCGTGGGAGCTGCACGCACGGCCGATCTGGGTGGTTCCGGTCGGCGAAGACTCGTCTCGAGACGGCGGACCCGATGGTATGGGAGGTGAGAACCGGTGGGCACTGTAGAAGATCGACGAACCAAAACTCTATTTGGGACCTTAAACCTGCTCTGATACCATGTTAGAATTTGGGAAAAATATATTCTATATTATTCAAAAGACATGTACACATATATATAGGAACATAATGAGCCTAAATCTAATCCTACAATATATATACAAAATATATTATAACCATATATACAAAATATATTCTAACATTAGGAAATAAATAAATTAATAAATAAAATAAACTTGCGGTCAAACTAATCTCCGGCCAACAAAAACCCCCACGAGTAAAAAATTCATACTGATCTCAAACCCAACTTGGGCAAAAATGTATACTCTTTCAAACATAAATCTTTCTCAAAAGAGCATAATGCAAATACTTCACACTTCTTTAAATCCCAAGCTGGATAAGGGCCACACATAGGCCAAGATACGAATGTCTTTAAAAGGCCACTTCGGCCAAGAACACACAAAAACATAAACGGGCCACTTTGGCCTATTACATGTAATTATTGCAGGTTTCTCATAGATCGACAGAATCTCCGCCAGTACTGGATGCATCTCCCTGTGGCCCAAAGCTGTCTTCTTTGAAGAAGACCTCCCCTTAGGAAGTTCGTAGCTCCATCGCCGCACAAGTGTCCAAGCGTGAGATTGGTTGTGTCTGAACTGGGACATTAACATGCTTCTTCATCACCACTTCCGTATCCTGGTCTAGGTCACTATCTTTGTTGGAAGTCAACTGTAGACGATCTTTCTTACGAGCAGACGATCTTTCTTACGAGCGTACACATGCTTAATGACGTTAAGATATTCACCTTTCTCCAATGTCTTCAATACCTAACGAATGGCTCTTGCAGCTCTGCTTCCACCAAACTAGCAACTTCAACGACCACATATCCTTTGCCTATCTTTTTTATGATTGTTATTCCTCTTTCTTCCATCTTAAAACCCTCAGCATACCCTATCTCTTTTACCTCTAAAAGTCCATTTTCTAATGCTCCAAGCCAATAGCTAGGCCTTCATCTAATTACTTATCCCCTCGATCGGCAATCTTCATTGCCTCAGCCTTTCCCTGCTCGATCTCCTTGCGAGCGATAGACAACATCTCATTTAGCCGATGCACCTCGGTTGTGAGGTTGTTTTTCAGTATTTCGATCTCCTGCTTTTCCACATCAAGATGACACTCATGTTGGACCCCAATATCCTTCAAATTCGACTTCAGGCGATCCCTTTCTACGATGAGCACAACAAACTCTTCATAAGTCTTTTTGTACAGCTTGCTCACCTAGGTCAATCGGTCTGCCAAAAATCATTAGCGATCCTCATAACGAACATGCACCTCCTCGAGCGTCTTCAACTTATTAGGAGTTCTGTGCGATTTGCTGACTTCTTGCATCATCAAACCCATGGCCAACCTCTATATGGCCGCAGGCCACTGTGCTATCTCTGTTGGCAACATCGACGACACTTGCTTCTATTACTCTCGCGTCCACACCATCATAGGAAGGCGTGTTGTGTCCATCGTATTCTTAGGCAGACGTTGGGGGATTAAGAACATGCGGAATCTCTGACTCAATGAGGCTGCAATACTAGTCCAGACAGTGCCTGAAAAATAAATCCTCGGCCTCACCTTGTGGAGATGGCTTAAACTGACGATCTCCCGCCTGATCGGTCTCGTACCTTGGTATCTGCTACAAATAGACCGTGGTGGGCTACCGCTACTGGATCCTAACAAACGCTCTTAGACGGATCCTGAGGATCGCCCCATTGAAGACCTTCACGACCCCCCTCCGAAGGGCCCTGACGATTTGTCTCCAACTGGCATGGGGTCTCCCTCCGATCCTGCCGGTGCATCCTCCGTAACTATTTTTCTTGCCATCTCTAGCCCCTCCAACGTGCCATCATCGTTGATCTCCATCTCCACTATCTGAGGGCGGGCACTAGGACGATCGCGATCGAGAGACTCCTCCCTTTAACGCTTTAATCCGCTTGTTGACCTCCTAGACGACTCAGGTGAGCAAGGCAACCCTTGTTGGAGATCCCACCATCGACTCAACAGGTGTTGACGATCCCTCTGGAACTGTCACCGCTCCTTCTCTTGAAGACCCCTTAATTTTTTTTCTAGTTTTTTCTTAAACTTTTCGATCTTCTGTCTAGATCTCAATCTTACCAAAAAATCCTCTCCAACCACACTCATCGACGGGTAAAACACTACAAATCGACCAAATGTTGACCAAAAAGAAAAAAAGCACAATATCAAATACCCAACAAAACTCTATGAAATTTACATGGCTCAACTAGCGTGTTGCCAAATCCTAGATGTATATTCTCTTTGGCCAGTTCCTCACTTTGACACAATGTTCGACAGTTTCTCTCGGAGATCGACATATTCAATATCGCCTCTAGCTTATCTGCAAAATTGGCATACGCGGGAGGAGTCACCTTTCCCGTTGCGCAAGAGAAAGATAAAATTTACTTAACAGAAACAAAATAAGACTCCTCAATAGGCTAAAGTGGACTTACACATTTCTTCTTTAAGAAAAGTCAGCACATATGCAGATTGACCAGACAGACGACGAGTCCTACCTCTTCTGCCACTCGATCCAGTCCCGCTCCCAACCATGCCCAGACTCGGGTAGATCCGTCACTAAATGGCGTACCTATTTTCACGTGGCGCCAAATGAAAGTACCTGATCCGTCTTTTGATGTCTTCTACGTGTATACGAAGTTCAGTCCCTCCATGGTTGGAGTCGGCCACCCTTTACTACCATACATGATGATCAAAGAACATTAGTGATACACCGCGTTTGGATGCACTTGACTGATGCCGATCTCTCATTACCCCAAATATTCCGATAGTATCAGGGGAAGTGGAAATCGCAGCCCAGACACTATATATTCTCGGTGCATTGCAATAGTACCCTTCATATGAAGAAAACATCTTAACTATCCCAGGTATTTCGTGCTTTTCCCTTAACGACACAAAATTGTTGTCCCACAAGGCGCTTGCTGATCCATTTCCTCTTGCTCTGATGTCTCTTACATCGGCGGACGATGCTAGCAGCCTTTCAGCCGGGGTTTGACTTTCATGATCTCCCTCTGGGATCGCCACCACCTCATGGTCACTCACATCCGACATATTTGATTCAAGGTTACATAAAGAAGCTAGACAGACGAGAAGACACTCGCCATCTGTCAAAAAATTTTAAAATGCAGTACATACAGCTGAAGAAGAACCCTCTATATATTGAAGACATCTCAAATTCCATCAATCATTGTCGCCGTCACATTAAGGCACGAAGTAACATACATACCTTACAAGACTCACATTAATTCTGACAAGGTACATCCCCTCATTTAATGCCTCAACTGAAATGACATCTCATCAGCATAATCGCCGCTTGATCGGAAAATTTTTGGGATTCATAGCTTTTCATGCATATCGGCGATTCCTCCACACCTGGAAACATGGTGTACTCTATGTTATAACCAAAATTGTTAAATGTATGGTCCACCAAGAGTTAATCACATATGCGTAACTGAGCCTACACAAGTCCCCACAACAAACACACGAACAATTAAAGACGCGGCTTACGTTGGTCGATTCCCCAATCAACAGACATCAGTGCTTGCCGATCTCTCTTTGAGTCTTCGAGAAGAAGATTGACGATCTCTCCTCATCTGAACGTCGAACTGATAAAGTTGATAGGCCACCGCCCAAGTTGACCCCTCCTCAAAAAATGAGTTTTGCATAGATACATGCAGTGCCACCCTACGCCCCTAGCTGTCACCGAGCATTTATTGCCTTTTTCACTTTTTCTATGTATATATACCAAACCCTTCGGGTTATACAAATAACAAGCATAAAAAAGAGCACACAACAATGTAAACAACACCCATAGATATACATAGCAGATGTACCCAAAACTAATACCCTTACATAGCTCCTATACTCTTTTATGGCTGTAACATTTTTTTTGTACAGTCCGTCAAAATTTTTTTAGAAAAACCACTCTCCTTGCCTACCTCCACACCATATTGGCAACATCGACGCCTTGTTTACTTTTTCGCATATTTACATTCTTAGTTAGTGTAAATCCGTTCATATTCTCTCTTGATTTAATGTCTCAATTAAACCATAAAACACATCGTAACCCTTGATTAAAATGCCTAATTTATATCAATTGTAATTGTTGGCGGTTGACCATCAACAAAGATATTAAACATGAGAATTGTGATTCAACAATTATGAAATATGTAAAAAAAATAGTTTTGATATAATGAGAATGAATTTGAATATGAAATTTCACAAAGTATGATATGAATATTACTATGAACACCACTAATATTTGAAAACATAAATGAGCAACAAATGATACTAGTACAGCTTGTGGAAAGAATTTTATGATGGATGAGATATATTTATATGAATACGTATTGTGCCTCATCAGATTTCCTAGCAATATATATATTTAATGAAGTAACAGTGATGATGGACTCACATGTGTAGATTGCTATTTTTTCTGTCATTAGAATTTTATTCCACTGGGTTTTCTCTAATAAGGATCTAGTGAGGCATATTAATAGTATAATGTAGATTATTGGATAATTGATATGATTTTTATTGACGACAATATCATGCTCGAGTAGATGTACTCTTTTTTCCTTCATTCAATTTTTTTTTTCTATAGGATTTTCTGAACAAGGTTTTGATGAAGCGACAGCTGAATACTTCCCTAAGGATGATTTAATGGAGGCGGAGCAACTTTATGCTTCTACAATGCTTGTGTTTTGTCCCATTGTTCGTTCAACAATTATGTTTAAATTGAATAAACCGAATCAAGATTCGATTTTTATTTCTCTCTTATTTATCAAACCAAGTCGAAGTCAAATCAGGGTCAAAACGAACACTTAGAAATAAATTCAAGTCATTTTGCCCTAGGTAGTACCCCAGGCCCTCGCACCCATGCCTAGGCCCACGCACCCGCGCGCCTGCACCTAGGCCCGTGCCAGTGCAGCCCGCGGTGTGCCTCAGGGCCACGCGCATC